TCTGAACTTGATGCACTCATTCATAATAATACATGGCAGCTTGTTCCTTTACCTCATGGACATCGGCCGATTGGTTGTAGATGGGTCTACAAAATCAAATACAATTCGGATGGATCAATCGAACGATACAAGGCTCGTCTTGTTGCTAAGGGTTATACTCAAATTGAAGGGGTAGACTATTTGGAAACTTTTTCCCCTACCGCTAAACTCACTACTATGCGGTGCCTCCTAGCTGTTGCTTCTTCTCGAAATTGGTTCCTCCATCAAATGGATGTCCAAAATGCGTTCCTTCACGGCGATCTCGATGAAGAAGTTTATATGGACGTTCCCCTTGGACTTCGCCGACAGGGGGAGAATATTGTATGTCGGCTCAATAAATCCATCTACGGTTTAAAACAGGCTTCACGTAATTGGTTTGCCAAATTCTCTCATGCCATTCAAAAGGCCGGATTTGATCAATCAGAAGCTGATTATTCCTTATTCACAAAATCTGAAGGGAACTCATTTACCGCAGTTCTTATTTACGTGGACGACATCATTGTCACCGGGAATAATGAGCAAGCCATTAAGTCTCTCAAGGAGTTTCTCCATCAACAATTTCGCATCAAAGATCTTGGTGACTTAAAATATTTCCTAGGAATTGAAGTCTCTCGATCTCATATAGGAATATTCATTTCTCAAAGGAAATACGCATTAGATGTTTTAAAGGATGTTGGTTTACTAGGATCTCGTCCTCATTCATTTCCGATGGAGGAACATTTGAAGTTGAACTCGGACGAGGGTGATTTACTACATGATCCTACAAAATACCGTAGGCTTGTTGGAAAATTGATTTATCTTACGGTGACGAGGCCTGATATATTGTATTCCGTACAAATTCTAAGTCAATTTATGCAAAGCCCTCGAAAGCCACATTGGGAAGCTGCCCTAAGGATATTGAGATTTCTTAAAGGGAATCCTAGTCAAGGGCTACTCTTTTCATCGTCCAATGATCTTACATTAAAAGCCTATTGCGATTCGGATTGGGCAGGGTGTACGATGACTCGACGATCTGTTTCGGGGTATTGCATTTTTTTAGGAAACTCTTTGATTTCATGGAAGTCAAAGAAATAGACAAGTGTGGCACGTTCATCCGCAGAAGCAGAATACCGGGCAATGGCGACGACGTGCTTGGAGATTACATGGATACGATATATCTTGCAAGACCTGAAGATCATACAAAATCAGCCAGCTACCTTATTTTGTGACAATCAAGCAGCTCTCCACATCGCCAGAAATCCTGTCTTCCACGAACGAACTAAACATATAGAAATCGATTGTCACATTGTTCGAGAAAAACTACAAACTGGCGTCATCTCTACATCCTATGTACCATCACGTTCTCAACTCGCAGATATCTTTACTAAGCCTTTAGGAAGTGAGCAATTCCGCTTCTTAAGAGACAAGTTGGGACTTCATAATATTCACTCGCCAACTTGAGGGGGAGTGTTGGAACAAATCCCTCGATTTGTGCCGTGATATGCATATATTAATTACTGTATATTTGCCATGTAATTAACCTTGATTATAGCATAGAATATTGTGGTCAATATCCTTCCTAGAATAGATTCCCGTATGTATCTATATATATTGATCTTTGTGATCACAAATAAATAGACAGAAATCATTAATATTATTCTTATCATTCAACGCAGGATACGAATGTAACTCATTTACTTGGAGCAATAATCAAGAGGGAAGAAATTGTATATGGCAGAGAATCGATAGAGTATTGATGAATGCTGAAGCCACTGCCATGTGCTCATTCAAAATTTTACAATTGCCAAACTCGAATCCGATCATTGCCCACTTCTTACTGTTTTCAACTGTGTGCAGCCCCGGAAAGGAAGATTTTATTTTCAAAAGATGTGGATTGGACACCCAAACTTTACATCATTTGTAGCGGAAAATTGGCTCTCCGGCACTTGCCATTCGCTAGAGAATAAATTAGCTCATCAACGTAACGTAAAAATCTCAAGCAATGGAATTGGCATACTTTCGAAAATATTTAAGATAATATTGTACTACTTCAAGGTCGAATAGTAGAATTGGAAAAATGTCTCTCTCAAGGTTGGAGCGAGAACATTTATCAAGAATGCCTTCAAGCCTAAGGGGAGCTTAATCAAGATCTCAATCAATAGCTCCAATGGGAGAGGGACCTTTTAACTAGCAAGGCAAGGGTTAAATGGGCTTAAGACGGTGATCGAAATTCCAGTTATTTTCACGCTCGGATAAAGGATAGAAGACAGCGAAAACACTATTTCTCTTAAGCTTGAGGATGGTTCGTTCTCTTCCGATGGGAAGGTGATCGGTGAGAAAGCGATTGAATATTTTTCGAATCTCTTTCAAGCTTCCCCCTATTATATGGAAAATTCTTTATTCGATCACGTGAAGCCTAAAGTCTCGGAAGAATTGAACTCTAAAGTCTACGCTCCTCCGGCTGAGGAGGAGGTTTTCCAAGCTGTTAAAGATCTCTATCTAGAGAGTGCACCGGGTCAAGACGGGTTTACAGGCTTCACTTTCGTCAAATGTTGGAATATAGTCAAAAGTGATATGATGAATTTGGTGAATGGGTTTTTCCTCGGAGATTATCCAACCAAGAGCACGTCCACTACCCTTTTGATGTTTCTGCCGAAAGTCCCCAACCCGAAATCTCTCTGTGGATAGAAACGAAAAAAGAGATATCGAAGTAGTAGTAGTTCTGATCATTTAATAATATTCTCACTTAAATTCCAAGTTCTTAGTTACTTCGACTGGATGAATCCTATCGATGGAATAATTAAGTCATAATTCATTGGTTGATTGTATCATTAACCATTTCTTTTTGTTGGTACGAGGAACTTATCATGAATCCACTGATTTCTGCTGCTTCCGTTATTGCTGCTGGATTGGCTGACGTTAGGAAAAACAGACTTCTGGCGTTGGGAAGCTTTCTTGGGTCTGTAATGCCCCCATAATATATGGGGGATGCGCTATCTGTTGGGGAGTAGCTAAGGGTACGACATATTCCTTATTCCCGTTAGTTGACGACAGTTGACTTCTTTGCTGGGCTATGATTCTTATCTCTCAAGAGTGAGAACCAATCTCCCCTTCTTCTGGCATCACAGCCTATTCTCTACCAGCTGATGAAAGAAGATCGGATTGGTGAACAGGATGCTTCCTCTCCTCGGCGAACAGATTACTCGATGTGTTTCCGTATCGTCTTTTAATAATTTTCGCCCTTTTAGCCTGGGGAATTTCGTTAGCAAGGACATTTCGAGGGTGAATGAATTTTTCCCGATGATAATCTAGCAAACGGGCTTTCTCAAAAACCGAAGTATACACGAGTCGATTTCGATCGCCCAAGAATTCATAAAAAAATAGCTTAGAATTTCTTTAGAAAGGTCAATTATTAAATAAATATGAAGTCTATTATATTGTGTATTGAAAGGATTTTTGGGGCGTTTTCCCTCAAAACAATGCCACATTACATATAAATTATAATCGATGTGGGACAGGAAAATCACAATTGGACTAAAGTGCTATACCATTGGTCATCGATATTGAATAGATTAGAATAGTGATAAGGGGAATAAATGGGTGTATGTAGGTAATGAATATAATATAGGTTGTAGCTACTAGCTAGCTAGCTAGAGGGCGGGTGACGTGTTGGTACAAGGAAGTGCATGCATATATAGGAAAGGTGGTGTAATGTAATATAATTAATAACCATCATTGCTATTTGTTACTGCTTTGCATGAGTTTCTGTGATTAATTCCAATTCCCTATACATATATATAACTCCACTTTCTTTTTCTGATCATCTGAATTAAAGCTTTCATCTATATTTCCTTCGCTGCAGAGTTCATATCTATATATCTGCTCTCTTGTTTTCTTCTCATGCATGCATGTTTTCTAATTTTCTCTTTTGCAAATTTTATTTTGTAAAATGGAAATTCATTCGGACAATGAAGATGGTGTGGGTTTAATTGAAACCCCAGTAAAGCTGGTTGATTCTGCCGCCGCCGCCTCTCATTTCTCATACAGTAAGAACAATTCATTTTTTCTACTTTATTTATTTTCCCTATTTTTTTTTTTCTTTTCTGTTTTCTTTGTTACTTCTGTTCCTGCCTTAAAAACAGAGGACTTCCTCCTTGTGTATATCTGCAGGGTATAGGCATCGCAAATGCAAGGATGACACTGCAATTGGTTGGTCACATGCATCAATTAATTAATTATTTGCATTTTTCTAATTTTTTTTATTTATTTTCTCTTAATTATAAAATTACACATTTCAATAATTAAAATTGCATTTAGATAAATTTAATTAAGTGAATACTGTGGTTGGACTCACTACTGTTCTTGCATGCTCTAATTTGTTCTTCCTCTCTCTGTGTAGTGTAATTTCATAATAATTCCTATTTCTAGTGTTTTATTATTTGTTTTTTCTTTCAAGAACTATTTAATTGTTTACTTTATGTTGACTAACGATATTATAAAAAAAAAAAAAAAAAAAAAAAAAAAAAAAAAAAAAAAAAAAAAAAAAAGGGGGGGGGGGGAGGCAAAAAAGAAAATATTTTTTTTACCTTAGAAACAAAAGGAATGTTACTTTTTTTTACCAAACCTTCTTCTAAAGAATAAAACAGGTTTTGACGAAATTTCTTGTTTCAAAAGGGACAAAAAATGTCAAATTAATTTTTGCCCCCAACCCCTGGTCCCGGCAAAGGCGGCTTAAAG